TAAGTACTATGGATTTTTTGTAAAATGGGACCTTTTCTTGCTTCAGTTGCCAATGTTTTCATTTAACGTACTAAACACATTTCATCCTGACCACTGGGAATTTACTCCAGCTTAAAATAACTTGTAAATACGCTGATGTTTTCTCTCCAACAACTGCCAAACACAGCAGCCACAGAAAGGGATATTACATAACAAAAGAAGGCTGAAGATGTGGCCAGGAACAGTAAAAGGAAGAAAAATTCCAGCTCTTGACCTTGGGGTTCAACAAGGCTTCTGCTACATAGAGCTGTCTTCTCCCTTCACATACATTCATGCATCCCAAAAATTATTTCACCAAAAGCAAAGAAAATAGATTTAATGAGATTATTCAAGTCCTGTTGATCTGCCCCTGCTTGTTCTGGTTAGCTCTCCAAACAGGGTGAGTATCTGAGGTTGCCACACCTCTGTTCAGGATCCAGAACCATTTGTAATGGTGGTGCAACACTCTTGGACATCTGGATTTATGCCCAGTGGCTGTGCCCAGGGTGTCCAGGTAATATCCAAAGGTTTCAGTTTTGCCCAGGAACTGTAGCCTGCTGGCACATGGACCATCTCATTTCCCAAGTAACAGCTTTTCAGGCTTAGACAGTCCTTTCACTTCATCTCAGGCTATGCTAGACTGGGAGGCACCTCATGTGGGACTGGAAAGAGAAGAGATCCTGTGGGGAGGCAAGGTTCTTCCTGCTGATGGCTTTCCTAGCACAGTGTCAGGGCAGGAAATCATGGAAGGGAAGGAGGAGGCAGAAGGGGCACAGGAGCCTGCTTTTGCCGGTATTCCCTTTGGTGGTTGTTGATTTACAGTTATGAGTCACACGTCCGTGTAGCAAAACAGCCGCAGGTCACAAGCAACGCTGCTTGCACCCTGGCAAGCTCCACACCAGTGGCACAGCCTCTTGCTGGGACCTGCATGCTCTGAACAGAGCCTGTCACAGCAACCACCTCCAGACCTTCCTGCTCCAAGGAAGGCTCAGAGCCACCTGTCTGTACAAGTCTTCAACCTGCTCTTCTTGAAGGCCTCCAGCCCTCGGTTTCCTTCCCATACCAAAGAATAAATAACAGTACATATATCCTTACATGGCCTACAAAAGTGGCACAGAAAGCTGTGAACAGTCACACACAGGCTTTCACGAGTCCCTGGATACACCCCATGTTCCTCAGCTCTCCCCCTAACAGTACAGAGAGCAGCTACTTGCAACTAGACTAAATAACGGGGGAGGGACTGAAAAGAAACCAGAAAGCATTTTCAAATTTCAGAGTAAGCCATCAAGCTGCAGGTCAGTTTTTATGAGATCCAAGCTCATTCGTATGTGCCTCCTTATCCAGAGGCCAAGTTGGCTCTGGAGGAGGCAATCCTCATGAAGGCAGGGCACAGCAGCACACCAAATTCCTCCAGCACTGCTTGTGCTTTGTGCTTCTGGGTCACTGAGCAATTAGCCAATTCTGAAGAGACACAGAAAATCAGCCATGGCTCAAGCAGCACAGAAGGCATTGAGAGAGAAGCATTTGCATGAAAACAGAGGGACTAAGAATTACACCGCTAAAAGAGCAAAACTTGACCTGTTTGGAGAGGAGAGACAAGTGCTTTTCTCTCATGCAGAATGAGAGCTGCTGGGATAGAAAATTTAGGGACAAAATATACTTCCCTCAGTACTAAAACAGGACAAAATATACTTCCCTCAGTACTAAAACAGCTCAGCAGTCCAGGATTGACTGACCTTGGAGAATGGATCTAATCCATAGCTCCTTCCTTAAATACAGTCATATGTTCAGATGGACTGTACATGTTGGGACAGGAGGGAGTTCAAGTTTGTATTTCTGTATTTACATGCTGGTTGCTTGATCCCTTACACTTCCCACAGCTACAGGAAAACACTTAAGAACAGAAACAACCTCCTGATCCTTTACTCCTTTAAGTTACTCCCTGTCACTCTACATGACAGCAACACAAGGCTACAAAGCAGTTCATGATCAAGCATCCCACTCTCTATTTACAGTGTTTCAGCCTTGTACCTGCATCTCACTGAAACTGGTAACGGGAAACCAAGGTCCCTTCCTGAGAGCACTTGTGTGCAGAGGGTGCTGCTGGGGAGTGTGAAGGAGGAAGAAACCACAGGCCCCAGGGAATCTCTGTGCTGGGATACAGTGCTGGGGAGGGGGATAGGTTGAAGAGGAGATTTCAGCCACTCTCCTTTAAAACTTCGGACACTTCCACCAACCTTCGCCAAATCCCCTTCCCTCTTCCATCTCCTTAAAACCTAAACATCCTCCCATGGTTCATCACAGTTCCCAAATCACTCCCAGACCCTGCCATCAGCTATGGCCAAAAAGCCACAGTGCTTCAAGAAGCTCCTTCCTTGACTGAACAGCCTTGGGCTGGATCTGGCCGAGGGTAAAATCGTCAGGGCTGCAAAGATGCAATGAGTCACGAAGTCCAGGGGTGACACTGATAAGGCACAGAGAGGGCAGAGCAGCTGCCCAGCATGTGCACATGGACATGAAGGCTCAGAGCCAGCCCACGCCCCTCACTTGTTCCCACATTACAAGCTGCTCACAGGTACACAGCATCAGACCCACAGGTGTGTGCCTGCAGCTCCCGAACATGCATAGTCCTGGCATTGTGTCCTGGTGTGGGCAAGCAGCTGTGTTCCCCTTCCCACTCCACACTGGCCCTGCTAGACCCAGTCAATCAGGATTTATTGCCTGGGAAGAAATTCAGCTGTTACCAAGAAACAGAAAAAGAGATGCTTTGCATGTGAAGAAAACAGTAGCAGGAACAGAGACTGAGATAATAATCCAAGATAAATATCCAAGACAAGCATCAGGCCAAGAAGTTGTCTGCCTCCCTGGCACTCATCCTGGGTACTGGCCAAGAAATTTGCCTTAGCCTCAGCAAATTCTGTATTACAGCCTTTCTTTGATCTGCTTTCTCTTCTATTCCTACTCTGCTGTGCTCTCCTAAAATTTCTAAAAAACACTGCACAATGTTTTTTTTACTATCTTCTGCTTACTTTTGGCATTGGCAGAGGTTAAGCCAGGCTACTTTAGCAATTTTTAAAAAACAAACCAAAGCCTATGAGAAGCTACATTCTTCTGACTGTGATGACAAAATGCTTTAATTTCTTCCAACCCTCAAATGAAACTCAGAAGGCTCACTAATTAAACAGCTCTGCCCAAAACTGATTCTTCTTACAGCAATGCTTCCCTGGGGTGAACTCAACCACCAAGGTCGTTACAAATTAGAAATGATACTTTATTAGTTAAACAATTCCTGCCTGACATCCGCTGCAATATTTAAAGAGCGCTTGGAGTCTAAAAGTGGCTTAGATGACAGTAGAGAGTCACTTATTCCTACTGCTGCATCTTAAAATACTGCAGGCATTTCTGTCCCCCCACTTCTGAGCAGAAGGACCCAAACTAGTGTCACCTTATGGAAATAAATACAGCTTGGGGCAAGGGGGATGTCTCTGTCCTTCCCCAGAGACTTCATACTGTGGAGATAGGGAGAGATCCAGGACTCAAATCTGCACAGCACAGCACAGCCACATGGACACCCACTGTGCTTGACATCCCTTGTACACAGGACTCCTGTGCCCTCTGTGTGACCTTGACACAAGTGCCTGATGGGTGGCAGCAATTCTGTCCCCAGCTCCCTCTCAACAAAAAAATGCACCTTTTCCCATCAGCCACTATTAGTTTAGGATGCCAAAACTCACAAGGAATTGTAGGTTTTTTTAAAAGATTTTACTGTGTGTCTTCGTGAAAGTCACTTCTGAAAACACCACCTGAGTGCTTTCGAGAAGTTCCCCCCTTGGCATATTTGTTCTGCCAAGTGTTCATAAATGAGACTGTGCTAATGTAGCTGACAGCAAAACTCAGAGTATTAAATAACACTTCTTAAAGATCCCCAAGTGTTTTACGAACATGAATTAATTAAGCTGCAGGCCAACCCTGTGAATTATTTAAAGAGATCTCGAACCTTCCCTTCTTGCTCAAGGACATGGAGAGAGGAAAGGACCAAGGTCTAAAGAGAATGAAAGCATCCTTATCATCCCCATTTCCATTTATCCACCGCAGCAGCTTTAACTAACAGCCAAAACTCAATAAACTCAGAACGGCTAAAATCTCACCAGGCTGATTCAGTCACTTTTTGTAAGCTCTATCTTGCAAGCCCAGCAATAGCCAAGGAATCTGCAGAACATGGAGCAGACACCATTGTGTCTGTTTTTAGCGGATGCATGGGGTTTGGAATGATATGGCTATTAACAGTTCTCTCAGAACAGGTTGATTTGTCTGCAAGTTTTACCTGTCAAAAGCAATTGTCCCAGCTCTTTTGAGAAGGCAACCCCCTGCAGCATCAGTGTGAAACAGAGGGGTAGTGGGACATGGATGAGCGCCCCTGACTGCCCTGTTCCTTTGGCACCCTGGGTTCTTCCAGAACTCACCAAAAGCTCTGGAACAGTTCCTTCTATCTCCAAAGTAGCTGAGCTCCCAGATACTGGGATTGGTATGAAGGCCCCAACCTTCAGAAGCACTGGCTGTAGTTTGTCCACTTGGTTGTCAGTTTTCCCCACTGGGCTCTGAGAGGATCAAGTGGCAAAGAGAACAGCCTGGGATACCCAGGTACTGAGCCAGGCATGGACAGGCTTTTCTATCTGCAAAGAGGCAGCTGGGATGTCATGACTCCTCTGCACACTTTTGGACATTCTCCACTTACAGAAGTCTGTGGAAGTTCTGTGACTGTCAACTCCAGCCTGGGAAATCCCAGAAAAGAGGGAAAAGTTGAGTAATTTTACAGAGGAAAGATGGTTGCACAGGGTAAGGGTGTAAAGAGCACACTGAGTTGATCCTTTAGAGGAACCTGGATCAATACTCTGGAAGTACATCTGGCTTCCTACTGTGACATGATATTCTTGCAAACACGGCTGGAGGCCTGCTGCTAAGGACTCAAAGGCTGGTGCTGGCAAAGGAAGGAGCACACACCAGATGGCACATCCTGTTCTGACAGGGCGTGATCTCCCTCTGCTAAAACATTCTCTTCCATCAGGTAAATATCCTCACCACTTGTTCACTTATGGCATGGAGCAGGCTAGGCCAGGTCCATTGCTTTGCCACCACACTACACATCACCTGTTTTAAGTCCTTGTATCTTTCAGGCTGGCTGCAGTCAAGGAACCTGCACACATAACCAGTCATGCCTGAACATCCCTCCTTCCTCTCCACATGTGTGGGAAGGTTTTAGTTCAGTACTCAGTGTCCCTTCAAGCCTAACCAGGCCAGCAGAAGACAGATAGTTTAATAACATCAGAGCAGCAAAGTCCATTTCCATCCCGTTTAATGTTGCGTGGGATGTAGTTACATGTTGGTTTACGGTCAGCAGTAAGCTTTGGAGTTACTCCTAAACTCACAGTTTAAATTTCTTTGTCAACAACACTTGCCTTTAAAGGTGGTCAGCAAAAAGAAATGACAGCATTCATAACTGCATGGAAAGCTGCTGCTGGCCACCAGGAGCAAAAGTAGACATTTGAATTCACACCTGAAGGATGGGATGCTATCCAGAGGGACTGGACAAGCTCAAGGAGTGGGTCCATAGGAACATCATAAAGTTCAAGGCCAAGTGCTGGTGCTGCGCCTGGGTGAGAGCAGCCCCTGGTATCAGCACAGGCTGGGCATGAACAGACCCAGAGCAACCCTGCCCAGAAGGACCTGGGGGTGCTGTGGGTGAGAGGCTGGACATGCCCTGGCCATGGCACTCACAGCCCAGAGAGCCAAACGTGTCCTGGGCTGCATCCAGAGCCCCGTGGGCAGCAGGGGAGGGAGGGGATTCTGCCCCTCTGCTCTGCTCTGCTGAGACCCAGCTGGAGCATCCAGAGCTGGGGTCCCTGCACAGGAGGGACAGGGACCTGCTGGAGTGAGCCCAGAGGAGGCCACCAAGATGATCACAGGGGTGGAGCATCTCTCCTATGAGGAAAGGCTGAGAGAACTGGGTATTTTCCAGACTGGAAAAGAGAAACCTAAGGGGTGACCTAATTGCGGCTTTACAGTACCTGAAGAGAGCCTACAAGAGAGATGGAGAGGGACTTCTTACAAGATGTGCAGTGACAGAATAAGGGTGAATGGCTCCAAACTGTCAGTGAGTAGATTTATATTAGATATTAGGAAAAAAATCTCTACTGTGAGGGTGGTGAGCACTGGAAGAAGGTTTCCCAGAAGCTGTGGATGCCACATCACTTGGAAGTGCTCAGTGCCAGGCTGGACGGAGTTCTGAGCAACCCGGTCTAGTGGAACACCAGGGCAGTGGTTTAGAACTAGATGGTCTTCAAGGTCTCTTCCAACCCAAATCATTCAATGACTGGGGCCCACAGTGCAGTGTTGCTGAGTGCTGGTCAGTCCACAGCTGAGGTGAAGAGGAGAGCAGCCACATTTTTGTATGTGTGACTCCCCTCCACTGTTTAAGCCCTTGTGCAGGAAGGGTCCATGGCAGACACTGTGCCTACCCATGCCCAGGCAGGACTCATGAAGCACCAGGAAAACTTATTCTGAGTCAACCTAATGACATCCTGGAGAGCTTTGACAGTCTCAGGCTGAAGTTTAGTTGGAAATAGAAAAGTGTGAAGCATATGAGAGATTGTTCTCCACAGCTTCCACAACTCAGTCCCAAACAAATTGCCATACTATTGTTTTCTATGCCCTCTCTGACAGGGAAGATTCACATTTCCAGTGGCAGCCAGCTGAAGGAACCTTTTAAAAATCATTCTGAAGACTCTGGAGTGACACTAGTGTGATTAGTTCCTGGCCAAAGCCCTTGCCTAATACAGCAGATTAGTAGAGTATATAAAACATTTGGGAGTACATAAATAAAAGATGATCATCTTGAGAGATTGCTTTCTTGGATCAGTTCTAAAAAGCCTGAAACTGAAAGACTCCACTTAACATGAGACAACTGGATATGAGAATTACAAGGGCGTAAAAGGACATTGCATTTACAGCCATTCAACTCACAGCTGGATGAGGACCAGAAGGAAAATCTAGTAATAGATCCATGTAAGAGATGTTATCATCCTTCACAATTTTCCCTCATGGATGCATTAAAAAAAACCTTCACCAACCCACAGAGGCACATGTATCTCCTCGCTGAGACAAGGATCCCAAGTCTCCTTACATACTAAAGATATTGCTTTCTCATTTACAGGAAAGCTGACAGGCTCTGATGCAGAAGCACAAGAAGACAGGCAGCATGGTTTCTGTGGGAGAACTTGAGCAAGAGCTGAGTTCTCCTTTACTTGATTTCAAGTAAATCGATTTCAATTTTAAACTTGATTTTTATTTGGTTTGAAAATAAAACCCAAAACTCAGAAAATATATGAACTCTGGGAAACAAAAGAACATCTGTAGAGCTGCTGGACCAGAGCTTGTCTGGACCATGGTGACAACTGGGGACAGCAAACCCCCTTCCCACCAGTCCCCACTCCTCATCAGGAGCAAACTGAGTCCTCTTGCTCAAACAGGAACAGACACAAAGATTTGACATCCCAGACATCCTACCCAAAAGGCTTGAGGTAACTGTAAGTATCTTGCAAGAGAGAGGAGCTTTGCAAACACCGTGGTATGGAAGGAGAGGGGACGGTGACAAGGCCTGAAGAGACCTTCTGTGGTTGGGGGAATGCAGCTTGTCCTTACCTTGGGCTTCTTGCGCAGATTGGGAGAGAGCTTCAAGCAGGTGATGAGGCCTCGTTCATCTCCAACAATGATAATAGGGTAGACAGGATTAAACTGGACGTGTGTTGTTTTATTTTTCTTCCTGGTCACCACTAGCTGGGTGCAGAGAGGTTCAAGCTTATTAATGTTGAGATCAAACACATGGGCCTGGGGGAGAAAAAAGCAAAGAACACAAAAGGGATTAATTACCCAAAAACATCTCTCAGTGACAGAATGATGGCTGGAGAAATCAGAAAGAAAAGGTTCTGCTGAAATAACGTCCCAGCCACAGCACACAATTACCATCTGTGCTCAGGGATGTGGTCTTCTTTTAAGTAGCCAGTGTGCAGAAGTCAGATGCTGCTTGTGAGCAACTGCCCCCACTCTTGCAGGGGCTCACGGACAGAGGACCACTTCCCTGCTGTGGGTGCAAGCCTTGGCAAGGCTCAAGCTGATTTGGGCTGGAGAAGGCTCAGAGCCAGCACTGCTAACCCCACAGACCTTAATCTCCCTTCTCAGTGCAAATAATGAGACAAATAGGTGTTGAATCAGAGTCTAACACAGATTGATGCCCAAAATGGGGAATGCTGTCGTAAGTTCTGATTAGTGCTTATTACAGAGCTCTCTAACATTTTCAGCCTAATAATAACAATAGTAAAGACACAAACCAGTAGGTAATGGGGAAGTGATGGGAACAGCTGTAGTATGATTAAAATGTACCCTGGGGTAATGCCAGAGAAGCACAGGACAGCTTGGCAGCTCACTCCAGCCCAGACACTACATCTGCACACATGTCCTTCTCCCACAGTGTCAGGAAAAGAGCCAGGTAAAGATAAGCCAAACAGGAAAGGTGAGGATGGAGGGAGAGAGGCCCAAGGACCCACTCAGTCAGGAGTCCCACTGGCATGGACTTCAGACCTCTGGCCCAGTGACACAGACCTGCCACATCCACAGCTGCACAATAATGCACATTTCTTTGTGCAGAGGAAAGAGTGGCAGTTACTCGAGAAAATGAATTAACCTAATATTATCTCTCAATAATTGCAATTAGCTCCAGTTACTGATACAGACTGCAAAGGCTAATAAAACATGATGTGCGTCTCTTACCCAGGGCTGAGGTGAGCCATTTCCAGCACCCTGGATTTCCACCTGGTATCCACCATGGAGACTTTCAGCCTTATGTTTCTCTTCCCTTTTCTGTCTTCAGAAAAATTAGGAAGGGAATGCTTTATGCTAACAAGTATAGTGGGAATATAGAGGAAATTAGAACTGAACTACTTGTAAACCTCCTTCCAGCTGTGTCTTGTTTACCAGCACTTTAGAGACAAAGGAAACATGTAATTTCAACAATATGCCATGCTGACAATTTGAATCTAGGAGTTATCTGAAATCAGACAATGCTACACTATAAAAGCTTATTCCAAAGAGTGTGGAAGGTATCAAATCACTACATGTACTTTCCCATTACACACCAAGGATTCAGTGAATTTTATCTGAGTCCTTTTATAGCATAGAGCTGAGCCATGTGCAAGCACATGTCCCAGGCAGTCTCATGAGCTGCTGTGTCTTCATAGGACTAAAAGTCTAGCAATTTGTGATGTCCTTGGTCTGAGCGGGAGAACAAAGGTCTTGCAGATGCAAAAAAACAAGAAGAGGAACACTGCCTCCAGACAGAAGTAAAATAAAATGGGAAAGTGCTTGAAAAGTGGACAGTATCCATGACAGTACAACTCAAGAAGGGAATACAAAGCATCAGCCACAGACAAGGATTTGCAGTTTGGAGAGCCCTTCCCCAGTCAGCAGAAGCATAGGTGAAAGCATAGAAGCATTTTTATTTGTTCAAATTACTAGATGCCAGCATTACATTGTGAATTTTGACCTGACACTTGAGGTCTCGAAGTCCAGCAAAGGTAACTTCAATTTCCTGCCTCTTGGCAAAAAGCACTCTGCTTGTATTTTACACCTATTGTCTTACTGCCTCAGAAAAGGAACAAGCACTCTTTCAAACACATCAGTCTCCCATGAGCCATGCTCATTAAAGATCTGATTTCTTGCCTTCATTAATTTAGTAATCTAAGAGCCTGGGAAGTGCTCACTGATTGAGTAGCACTATTTAATCTAGGGGAAAAGAAAAAAAAAGAGTGTCAGGGAATTAGTGGCCAGGTTTCTTCTTGGCAGCCAGCTCTGCACTGCTCTGCAGGCTGTCAATGTACCACCCCCCACACACACATCCTGCCCAGCCCTGCACTGGATAAAGATGGCATGGCCAAAGGCTCAGTGCTGGAGTGCTGAGCAATTTAAAGTACTCTGGGTGAGGCTCTTTCTCAAAAATGTAACGAGCAGCCCAGACAAGCACAATGCCTGGGACAAGAACTTGAAACCATCAGCAATGTGGAGAAGGTCAAAAGCAAACAAGTTTATGAATGTTCCTACTATAAAGCTCCTCTTTTATGAGCTTCTAAACAAATGGGCTTGTTTTCCTTTGCCAAGGGAATCATGGAAAAGAACAAACTATTTCAGTTCTTCAGCTGACATCAGCCTCCTATCAGCTGTCAGACACACCAGATGGAGGGGTGGGTCACGGGCACTGAGAAGGACTTCAGAGGCTTTGATTTAGAGACTCACAGTAGCTCTTAGGAGAAAGGGAAATGGGGTCAGAGCAACACTGGTTTTGCTTTGGGAAGTAGCCTAAAAAGGGGCACAGGGCTTCCCACAGCACTAGAGACAGGTTAATAGTGCTTTCAAAGCAGCAGAGCCACATGTGGCCAGCACCATCTGTAGAGCTGCCTAGGGTTTTCTGCCCCAAGAATTGGAGACTGAAAACCTGCAGCTCTCCTTGAGGCTCTTAGTCCCCTAGTCTCAAAGTCCCTAGACCCCTGCTCTGCTGGCTCAGGTTCTGAAATTAAGGATTATGGAGTGGGATCTAGCTGGATCTCCCATCACAGAGACTCACCAACCACACAGAGTTTTCTCTCCATCCTACTGCCATGGTGGCCTCTGCCTCAAGATCACTAGTTGCACACAAAGATGGCCTCTCAGGTTTTGCATGATGAGCCCTCTCAGAGTATATGACCCAGAGAAAAGCAACCACAAGTGCTACCCAACCCCATGTGTGACTCCAGTATCAAATTCATGGGGAGACAGGATGACCAGAACCAGGACTACATCTAAAACCTCCTTCATGGAGAAGAGGTTCCAGGGCAGGCACCCCATCCAGCACCCACCCAAACAAGAACTGATACTCAGACACTGTCAGGCATCTGGTATAAATGGGCATTTTTATAAAAGCTGTCACTTATGTCATTATCCTTTCAGAGTTTACAAACCAGGGAGAGTCCTCCTCTTTTCTAGCCTCTTCTCATGCTGTCGAGGCTGGTCCCTCACTGCAGGTGCTGAGACCTGGAGCCGTCACATTTGCTCACACTCATCCAGGAGCAATTTAGAAACTACAGAGTGAAGGTTTCAAACCTCTGTTTTTCAGATTTCCAAAGTATTTCCATTTTGGTGTACATCAGCAGAGAAGGAAGCAGAAGCCTCCTGACAAGCTCGTTTCGGTACCCTCTGCAGATTCCGTAGAAACAAGTGAGGAATCTGGAAGGCCTGGAAATCTGCTTGCTGTAGACCACAGTAGACACCTTATTTTATTTTCTGCTAATGAGCTAAAAATACAATGGGTAAGGGCATTTCAGTTCTTTTTTACAGAGTACTTAGGAGCAATATGTGGCAGCTTGCTCAAAGGAAAAAGAAACAAGAAACATGGAAAAAGACACAAAGAGAGATGTAAAATAACTCTGAAAATGTCTGAAATAGGGAAGTGCAAGAATTCCGTTCTGTTTCACCTGTAACTACAGGAGAATAAAACTCTGGGCAGTAACCAATTACTCTGACAGTAGTTTTATTTATGATCCGTGTAAACCTCTGTGCCTGCTCCAAGAAAGTGCAAGAGAAAATGTAGCACCTTCCAAATGAAGCCCAAGCTGCTGAGTTAAGCAGTTCCTTGCAGCATGGGGATTTATGAGCTGGTGTCAGCCACAATCAAAAGAAACCTAGACCCACAGTACTGAAGTGCTGGACAGGCTGGTAGTAGATAAGACAGGCAGATGTTCAAGCAAATTTCTTGATGGAAGGGCAGCAATTCTGCTAAGTCCCTGAAAACAAGCACTGAATTTAAGAAGATGCCCATTTTTCTCTGAGGTGAGACCAAGTGAAATCTGGAGTTTCTGATGCTTTTTATCCAATCAGAACTATTTTAAACTGCCATCACAGTAACAGCAGAGTTTCTCTTCATGCTTGATGTACATGCAATAATGGATCTAAGTCTATTTTGTCACCATTGCAGAAAATGTTTGACATAAATGAGCTGCTTCGATGCTTGACTTCCAAACAGCCAAAGAAATCCAACTCAGTCTCAGCCAGACCAACAGCTTCTCTGTCTATAAATCATGCTAATATGTTCCACCTCCTAAAGTACAGCTGTTCCCCACTTCAACTCCACACAGTTCCTCTGCAAGCATGGCATAGTGCATATCCAAGGTAAGGACCACAGCTCCAGCATCAAACCACATTCAGAGTTTTGAACTTATTTTTCCCTACCTGCTCTACCAACTGCACTTACAG